ATTATAGCTAAATAACCAATATTTATATATCATATATGTATATCCTTTTAGTAATTAAATAAGCATAATAAATAAATATAAATAGGTAAGCTCATTATTACATTCATTATGTTTTTCTTTTAAAATACATAAGAAGTTTTAATTAAATTCAGAATTCAAACAGAAACGTAGGCAAGAACAAATTGAGCCAACAAAAGGAATCACAGTAGATGCTGAGCGCTTATTAACTTGATATTTATATTAAAATCTGAAACTTCGTCTCTCTTTCTCACTCACTCTGTACGTGTTCCACCTTCAATAAAAAGTAAAATTTAAATTAAATTCCTGCCAATGCATAAAAAATTCAATTTGAAAACTTTAAACCCATGCGGTGTTCGCCTAAGCCAAAAGCGAGCCACAGTTGGGGCTGGTCAGGGTCCAGTTGGTGCAACAGCTGTTGTGTTGTTGTTATTGTTGCTGCTGTTGCTGTTGTTGGCTGCTGCCTGTTGTCGCAAAAAGCAAATTGCCAGACAGCAACAGCAGCAGCTAAAAAGATGCAAAAAGCGAGAGAAACAGAGAAACGTTTTGCAGGGCGCCAACGATAAGGAATTTAATTTTATGCGCTCTGGCGCCTTTGGCCAGCTGAACAGGAAGCCCAAATGCAGTTGCTGCAGATACAGATACAATTGCAATTGCAGTTGCGCATACATATCAGCGATGTCACAGCATTGTAAATATCTATAACATGCCATATCGGAGAGCTGTCTAAAAAGAAAAGTAAAAAAAAAAAAAAAAAACAAGCGAAAAAAAAGCCAAAACTAAATAGCAGACAGCTCAGCTCAGACAGCGACCCCTTTGGCGCACTTGTTCAAGGGTATCGCACTCGACAACAATGCAGCCAGGCAAACACTTTGAAGTATGTCAATGCTTTGCTTGCCACATGTGCCACATTTCGCCAGAAGCAGCCAACAGCCAGTGGCAGTGGCCCTGCCTGTCTGTGCCTGCTTAGCCGGCGATAATTTATGTGGTTCAGGCCGCTGCCTCTGTGGCGGTGCATTGGCTTTGATCACAGCCGTCCAGCCCCGCCCCCCACAGCACAAATTCCCTTGCAGCAAGCATCTTAAAAGCGAAAGTGACATTTTACTAATTTAGCATTTTGAATGCGTCTCGTGTCGAGCAGCGAAAAGATTTATTCGCAAATCGCAATGCATTATGCGGCCTTAATTAAAGCATCTTCTACAAATTTATGCACTTGACTGCGCATCGATTGATTGATGGCTTCGTGGCGTGCCTCGAGCCAGCCAGGCTCTGCTGCCCAGGTAAGCTGCAGCTGTTGCCCAGGCAACAACTAAGCCGGCAACAGGTTGTTAGCGCTCCATAAAGATAGCCATCGCAGACAGACGAGAAGGCGGGCAGCCAGCCGAACCTGAGCTACAAGCTAAGTTGCAGATTATAAGATTTCTTATAAGATCAGAACAGCCTATACAGCTTTATAGTTATGTTTGCATACTGTAGACCCCAATTAATTTGCTTATTAATATCAGTTATTTAGTTTGCCTCTGGGAAAATTGCCTGGCTCTTCATTTGAGCAAATATTTTAAGAGTAGATCTGTGCTTTAGTTAACATATATATTTATATTCTGCTTGTTAAATATCAGTTTGATAAATTCTACATATATATATATATATATAGAAAAGCCCTGATGTGCCAGCCTGCATATGAAAGCCATAGTTTAATACGTAATGGATAGGAAAACTAGTTAGAAGTTTGCCTAGCTTAGGAAAGCGCTTACAAATTTGGAGAGGAAGATCAAATGAATCTAATATATTTCAACTTAATATTTTATCTTCTACAATGATCTCTTCTAAAATTATCTTCACAGATTTTTGGCTTAAAATCAGCTCGAATTTGGTTTTATTTATCAATAAAAAATAGGGTAAATAACCAATTTGTTGTACATATTGCTGCAAAACATTTCCTTCGTCAAATTTCATAAAGATTTTCTGAAAATCAAGAAATTTTTGCTTCGGCATTTACAGGGATTTTTAGGTAGTGGGAAAGCAAAGCAGGCTGCAATATTTAAATTTTCCTACTAAGATGATACTATATGTCAAATTGTAGTTCTTGTTCGTCAAATTATTGCTCACATTTTTTTAGCAACCAATTCAAAAAATTAAAAAAAAATAATAATAATAATTGCTGAAACGATATAAATTCAATTTTATTTTAAAAAGAATACAGCAGAGTACAATAGAAAAAGTTTTATCATATAGAACATATTCAACCCTAACCTTATTTTAATCGAGAGAAAAATATGAAATATATATGAACAACTCCTTATATGTATTAACCTTCCGATTAAAATAATAACTAAATATTGTTACTGAAGCTGGCAATGTGCTGTATGTGATTTTAAAGCAGCATTCCTTAAAAAAAAATTGAGTATTAAAACCTTTGTTGGCCGACGTTTTTCTGCCTGCAAAACTTTTATATTTAAGCTCTTTCTATATTCGTTCAACTAGTTTGTAGTCGAGGGAGACCTTCATATAGATATGCACAAAAAATTCTTATAGTTTTGGGCTTTTTCAATGGCCCAAATAGGCAGCAAGAGCAACAGCAGCAGCGACCCATTGAGAAAGATGTATGACTGAGCATCATTCATTGGCAGGGCTCAGCAACATCCATTTCGCATCTCGTTCAATTCTATGGCCATTGACAAACAATACGACAAATTGGTTTTTGTGTTTTTGGCCCATATTCGGTTTTGCAATTTGTGCAAATTGTTTTACACAAAATGTTTGCACGGCTCGAGCCAGAAGTTCAGATAGCTGAATGGGTTTTATATACATATATATATGTTATATATGTATATGTATATTTCTGGCATTTATATCGGTCATTAATGTTGAATTTTTGTTGCACTTCAACTGCGTATACACTATAAATTATTGCATACAAATCGATGCCAAAAGCTATCTCTCTCTCCCTCTCTCTCTTCTACTTTGCTCCTTTTTATTTTGGTATGTCAGCAATTTTTGCGCATTTGAAAATATCGCCTCTCTCAATGGCTTTTGCATTCAGCAACGAAATTAATTGCGTAAATTGTATTAAATGTTTCGCCATGGGCAGCAAACAGTGCAAATTTTAATTGAATGCCTTTTGTTTGGCCAGCGCCAATGTTGTTTTTCTGTCGGTTCGCTGCGGCGCTCCACTTAAATGCAAATCGAGTCGAGCTCGAAAATAGAAAGCTGCACGGATTGCATTCCTAGCTTCAAAATTGAAAAAATAAAAAGCAAACCCAACCCAACCAAACCAAACCAATCTCTATCCAAAAGCCGTCTCATCGGCAAAACATTTGCCTTTTGTTCCACTAATTGGCTTATGTTTGCATTATGTCAAAAACTGATATATCAAATTGGTTATCTCTTGCCTTGCTGTTATTTCAGCTCGCAGTTGAATGCAATTTAAATAACGCAAGTGCATAGCTGAGAGAAAAGGATTTAACACAAAAAAAAATAAATAAAAATGTTTAAGCGTAACAAAAAATTCTTTGAAATATTTGTGTAATCGTTAGAAATTCCAATTCAACTTTGGGATTTGTCTATTGCATAACTTTCATTCTGATCGAAATTTTTTGTGAATAAATTTATAAAAAGAAATATATTTTTTAC